TAGTAGAGAGAGAGAGAGAGAGAGAGAGAGAGGAAAAAGAAAAATCAATTTATCCACTTTCACCTCGAAATAAAATATTGGATGAAAAAAATTGCGCGAAATAATTTCGTCTTCGTTATAAATAAAGGGTAAATATTTTGGTAGAGATTGGTGGAAAAAGGAAATGTTCCGTGGCAGAGAGATTGTTGGTTTGGAACGGTTCTCCGTGTCTAGACGCACTTTCGCGTTTCATCTGCCCGAGGCGTCGTCCTCGTCGTCGTCGGGATTCCTCGGCTCGCTCGAAGGGAATTTTCCCCGACCACGGTGCACCAAAACTCCATTTCCCCTTTTTCCAGTGTGTCGGTTAAAGGGGAGGGAAAGTTTTCGAACGCAGCCTCGAGGTGGGAAGCAACGGGATATCCGGGATGATTGATAGGAACGGGCAGCAGCGCACTCGTATCGCGATACGGAGGATGGAAAATATGAGCTGGATGGAATAAAAATTCACCTGCGATTCAGATGCAAATGAAAGAGGCGCTCGTTTTTCCCGCTAACTTTTAAAGACTTTCTCGTTCCCGTGACGCGTTGTTGGAGAAGCCAATACCAGAGTGTATTCGAGGATCGATCACTTTTTTCACTTTTCCATTTAAAAAGTCTTCGACGAGTATTTTTTTGATCATTCGTTGATAACTCGTGTTATTGGATTCGCGACAAAAATTCCGTTCTTTTTTTTTTCCCCCAGAAAACCAGCATTCCTAACTTAAGAATTTTATCGATCGATCGATACATCGATCGTAATAATAAGGAAAAAATTTTTCACGTTGCGCAGTTGGATCGGATTGGGTGGATTTAAGATGAAAAACATTCGTTTTGTTCTTGCATAGACCTTTTTTCTTTTTCTTTTCTCGCTTAACTCGGATCGAGCCAAGATCTCGAATTCTCGGAAACGGATTATTGACATTGGCATTTTTCTGTTTATATAGATTATCGTGCTCGTTAATGGCTGCCAGGGTCGTCGGCTAGAGGCCGTTTAGCGAAGTTTCGAGCTGCCAGCGCGATAACACAGCCCGTACCCGATGAGTGTAAGTATCGATCGATCGCTCGATCAATTCTCTTCTTGTTCCAACGATACATAACTTTTTCGTCGCTTTTCCTCCCGTCGTGATCGCGAAATCACGATCCGTTCGAGTCCCTTCGCGCGCGAGAAAAAATTCTCTCCTCAAAAGTTCCTTTCGATCGCCGCCATTTTCCCCGATAATTTCGAACCACGGGGGGAGGAGGAGGAGGAGGAGGAGGAGGCGCGAGAAGCACGGTAAACTCGGCTTTCGGTGTCATCGCGCCGGCAAAGTCGGCGCATCGAATTAAAACGACCGGTCGAATTAAGTCTAATAAAAGCTGTGGCCGGTTCTGCGTTCGAAGCGCGGCCATTTAGCTCGGTTAAAGCGATCGGATTCAAGAGAGCGGCCCCCGCATAAGAAGCGCATAAATTAATTAGAACGGTCTTAGAGACGATATATGCCGATCGTGTGAAACGAGGGAGGGGGAAAAAGATACAGCGCTCGTTACGATACGATAGTTTATATATTTTTTCCTCGTGAATTTACGATTTTGTCGAGGAAAAAAAAAAAAGGAAGAGATTTTAACGGAGATATTGTCTTGTTGGAACAGGTTAGATCGGCAGGCGGACACATGGTGAAGCAGAGGAGGTTCATCGGCAATACGAACAACAAGATGATCAACATACGAGAATATTTATAGGTTTTTTTAGGTGAGGAATACGGATATATATATATATATATTTATATATACGTAACGCACGTGGCGGCCGTATCTGGTTGGTAGAGGATCGGTGAACCTCTGAGCGAGCGGATCGATCTGCATGCCGCTGAAGGAGAGAGAGAGAGAGAGAGAGAGAGAGCACCGTTAGTGTCTGGGTAGTAGCAGCCACGACGACGTAGCCGGTCACGTATCGATAGTCGACAAATTGTAACACGTGTGTACGCGCTGGTATACGGAGTGAATGTGAAATAAACGATAGATTTCAGAGGACGAGAGGAGAAAAAGGGGTAGTGGAGATACGCTATGGTCACACCTCGCGACGACCGCGCGACGACCTGATTTCCCTGATTCTTTTTTTTTACGAGATGTTTGATTTTCACGCACAGGTAAGTGGAATCACGCGCATAACATGCGTCAATACGAATAATATTGATTCATCCCTGTCTCGTTTTCAGATCCAATTTATCCAATGTTCACAGGAAGGACGAATTTGAAATTGATATTGGCGTGGAAAAATACGTGGAGAAAAATAGGGAAACAGAGAGGGAAACATGATTTCTCCTTAACGACGCACTGTCGCGGAAACGCACCGATCAGAAATTGATAGCGTTGTATCGTTGTTCCACGTATCCAGCGAGTTGGCGTTTCGTTTAGACAGGTACCATCCACGCGAGATACTTTCTAATGATACGCCTCCGTAATGCCCGTGCGAGGAAAGATTTTTCGTAAGGTGTCTCGCCTCCTCGTTTTCTATCTTTGGCCAATCTACCGGTGAAAGTGGACTCTCGACGAGCCTATTACGTAGCCTCGTGCAAAACGCATCGCACACCGATGGAAAATTTATAAGTTTCACCAGAGAGACGAGACAACTTTTCTCCTTCTTTCGTTCGCTGTATATTATCCCGCTAATAAATAATTATTTCCTCGCGCGAAAGCGACAACAGAGTTTAATGGATGGATAATTTGGAAATTTGAATTCGACCAAAGGTTATTACAAACGGGACGAGAAAAAGGTTTTTACCCCGAGAATCGGAATTCCAACGACGCGAGACACGCGGGATTCTCGAGATCGATCGGGAAACGAATATTTGGAATAAAAGCGAGGAATAAAAGGCGCGAAGGGATATGCATATATATATTCGTTCGTTATTTCACGCGGGAAGAAATACTATTTATAGCGATATGCTTTCGAACGGAACGATACTTACGATTAAATGTTAATTAACGGTCGAGCTCGTTGAACGACACTTTATCATCATTTAGCGCCGATTCTATTCGAACGCGTCGTTCCAACTTCTCGTTGTTAACGTTCTCGAACGTCACAAACGCGACGATGGAGTATCGTTTGAATTGTTATCATTATTACTCATATTTTTCTCAATCCTGCGTTTCTAAACCCGTGAATTTCTTGTTGCAGGTTTTTCTTAGGTTTACAGGGATTCTTCTAGTATTGGTGAAAAGAGATAGAGGATAAGCCAAAGCGAACCAGTGATATTTTTTTATGCAGTATTTTTCTTCCATTATTACGAGCAAATAAAGCGAGCAGAAGAGAGAAAGAAGGAGAAACGAGGGTCGTATTTTGATGAAAAATATAAAATAAGGACAAAAGAATTGATATATATATATATACATACATATATATTGGACGAATTTACGGATTTATAAACACACAGAGAGAGATTCTTTTTTTCTTTTTTAACTTGTTTCTACTCGACTCGAGAGCCGACATCGGCAGGTTTTCTTCAAAATGGTGAGTACCACGATGCGCAACATCTGTCTCATTATTTATAAATAATCGTATCGGTTCGCGCGTCCGTCGTACCCTTGGCATTCTCTTGGAAACAATAATGAGAGTTGATATTTTCAAGGCGCGTACGAGCGCATCGGTGTTGAGAAAAAAAAGAAAAAAAAACGAGAGATGATAATCGCGGCGAAGAGTCACGAGGCTCTCATCGAAGGCTTCAATTTATACGGACGCGATATGTTGGCGGGTAACGCGCATATTGTTTCGCTGTATCGATGCATCTCGTCTCGGTTCATCGCGCTTAATTATAATTAATGAAACGACCTATGGCTGGATTTATTTTCGCGGCTCATTCATCGCCGATAATTGATTCCACCTGTAATAAACCGTACGTATGGAAGCTCGAGAGGAGAATATTCGTCAAGCTTTCACAATTTTTCCAAATCCAAAGGTATAAATATATTTTGGGTGAATGATAATCGTTTCGAAATGAATCTACCGGATGTCGCTCGTGCAACTTACGTATCGTGCATGACTCGCCACGTCCGGTTGATTCATTAGCTAATTCGAACGAGCACAAAATTCTACGTATTCCCGGAACAGGATGCATACGTCTCTCCAAGCCAATGCATCTCTGCCAACTCTGCCTTATCGAAAACTAAACCCCGGTGAATATCCTAAAGATAGCGAGAAAAATTCTCTTCTAGAAATAGATTCGAACTTTCGAATACTTCCTCGAAGCTGAAATGAACTCGAACCACGAATCATCGGCGTTAAACGGCGTTTCGATTCCCACCGTTATTATCCGGAACAACGTTCGAGGAATGAACCGGGGAAGGAAAAACTCGTGACGCTCGCACGAACGAGAATAAAATATCGCGTTGAACGGTTCGTTCCTTGGTCCGTTTGGATCTCGCGGAGGAAGAAAGGCGCGACAATAATACAGAGGAAATGAGGGTGACCCCGATCTGAAAAGCAAATGAACCCGGCCGTTGAACGCCGCCCGGCCACGTGGAAAACTGGCGCGTGTCAGCGGTTTTCCATATCTCTGCCGCGCCTCGGCTTTTCCGCCCGTGGGAAAGCGAGCTCGATTAAACTCCGCCTCGACGAAGAATAATTAGCGGTGACGCGGCTCGCGAGACTGGTATTAATCGGTTCGGAAATAATAGATAGGAACCGCCGCGGAGATTAAACGTGGGCCGGAAAAATTTATGCGCGCGGATTAGCGGCGGGGTCAAGTTCAACGTGTGTAAATCTAAATTAAATCTAAATTCGATCGGTCGATTCCAAGTTTCCCTGTTAATCGTGATTTATTTTTTTATTTGAAAAGTATTTCTGGTAGGGAGGGATGAGCGTGGATAATGCGAGATGGATCGAGCGAGATGATGATAAATTACGAAACCGAGTTTATTAACGATCACGGTCGGTTTTTACGAATGTGTTTTTCAGTTGTGTTATCAGGTTGAGAGAATTGAGGGAATGCAAGAGGGAGAATAATGGAATTATCGTTTAGTAATCGTAATATAACGGTACCGAGATGGCAATAATCTAACTTTCCTTTTTTGGGTTTGGCCAGTCAACGAATCCTTTCACTATCAAGGACGAAATATCTCGTCTCACGAGATTTTTATTTAAATTTACTAGCAGGAAACGAGTTGAAACGGGTTTCTGTCCAAAATATCGAAAAACGCTAAATAGATCGTTAAAATCTTCCTTTAGAAAACTTAACATTTACTTACACGATTCGCTCAGTCCCATCGCCGCGGCGAGCACAATAACGACGATAATTTCGTTTAATTAGCGAATGCCGCGCGCACGTGACGGGTTAGAAAAGATTGTACGGCCGCTCGTAGTGAAAACCTTCCAATTTGTCGTGGAATTTGTTTCGTTCGTAGATATGCTTGTTTCAGCCAGTGTGTGCGTTCCCCGTATTGTCACGTCATGCCCTCCCCCTCCCCATATGCAGCTTGTATGGTGACTGATTGGATTCGAAGTACGATCCGTCGTTTGTCGCGATTCACTCCCCGCGCTGATGGATTCGCTTTCCCCCTCTCCCATCCTTCCCCTTCCTCCTCCTCCTCCTCCTCCCCCGTGTTTGCGATTTGAAAATAGTCGGAACGATTGGAAAAGGTTTTTTTTTCCCCACCCCTCCCGATCTCTGGCGGCAGGCACGACGTGCTCGCTTTTCGAGTTTCCGTTCCATCCCACTGTTCGAATATCGGCCGATTGAAACGCGTCAATTCGATTTCTATAATAACCGACATGTTTTTTAAATAATATATATATATATATGGAGAATCGATCGGAGAGGAGAAGGTGTTTCTTCGTCGCGTGTATTGTTCCGGAAAAAACCGATCGTTTTACGAGCGATTCGTAACAATCGTGGTACATCCATTGGATGGGTCTCCACTAGATCGTTGTACGGATATCTTTCTGCGCGATTTGAGTGGAATCGTACACGCGTGCTTGAAAAATATCGTAGCCGATCTATTCGTATATACATATATTATTAGAATTTGGGTTTCGATGTGATTTCCTCGCGCGAAATACGCAAAAAAGGCGGGTATCGATCGACGAGTAACGAATAGCTCGGGCGAAAAGGCGGAAGTTCGAAGAGGTGATCGAAGGCTTCGTTTCGACTCGAAAGTTTTTGTTCGGTCGGAGAGGGCGGAGTTATGATTACTCTCGGATGAAAGAGGTGAAGTAACAGATGGACGCGGTGTCGAGGAGCTGTCCCAGTGAACTGGCGATGGAGCATTCGTTTTCGAGACGATTCGATAACGATTCGATGATTTTCATCGGTCGCGTCGGGGTTAAGCAAGCGATAAAATATCGCCTCCCATCAATTCGTCCGTTTTCATTGCCCCTATTTTTCACTCTTGTAATCCGTCAATAAATCGTGGAAGAAGATAAACTGCCACCGCACTGCCGGTCGCAAAAATAGGAGCATCGTTACAGAGTATCGACGTGAGTTAAAAACGGAAGTAAAAAAAAAAAAAAAAATAGAGGAAGGGAAGAAAAAGTGGAAAATTATTATAGTCAGCAGTTGGACAAGGTTCTTCTTCGATCGATCGCAATGGAACACGTATCGCGACTTGTATCTATCTACAAGAGTTCACGACATTTATCATTTAACCGCGTTTCATTCGAATTGGCGCGAGTCGTTCGACTTGCGTTTAATTTAATTCATGATCGCGCGAGGTATATCGGCGCGTGACGCGAGCGGGAAAATTACAGAAGCGTGATAATTCGATGCCGATCAATTTTTTTAAGGTCGAGGCAGATACGACGCGATACGACGCGAGTCTCGCTTCTATTCTATTTCCGACCGTTCGCTCGGACACGACGGTTTACGAAATCGCTGGGTGGATAGAACGCGACGTGGCTATATATTTATCGGGCGCAGTCCGGTTTATTTCACGCGGTGGAAACACAAACAACCAACGGCGTGGCGAGGGAATCCTCTCGCGGCAAAAATTAACAAACTCGGGTTTCTTTATTGCTCGTGCACGCGATATTAAGCTACGATTGGTCCACTACGATTTTATCGAGATCGATGATAGAGACGTAACGCAGATTTCGCGAGAAAACGCGTTAAATTTATCCGCGTTTTACTCGCGTGGATTTTCCATTCCCGCGTCGTTGTGCAACGCTTAGCGGCGTGGCGATGGGGGACACGTTGGAACACGCGCCATTGTGGTAGTTTAAACGATGTCAATGGAACTCGACCCGCGTGCGGATCGGTTACGCGAGAACGACGATCGATCGATCGACGCGTACGAGTGTCGTGATTTCATTTGGCCTGGTGGGACGCGCTCGTTCACAGAGTTCGTGTCACAGGATGGATCGCGTCTTTGTCGCGGAGTTCGAGGTCGCGGGGTCGAGTTTCGTCGGTCGATCGTTGGCGGATTCCCGCCACGCCACGCTGCTTCTATTTCTGTGCCGCGGCCGCGACGTGTCGTGCGTTGACTTCGTTTCAATAATTCATCCCGATTACCGGCCGGAACCGCGATTCGAGCCGCGATTCTATACAGCGCGCGCTTATTACGATCCGACGGCGGAGAGCCGGCTCGGATTTGGCCAACGCCGCTCCTCACTCGCGTATTTTTGGAACGGATTGGAACCCAACATTGCGACGTGATTTCGCTAGATCGCGGATTATCCATAATTTTTGATCGATCGAGTCGTCAATCACGAAATCATTATCTTTCTTTTTCAAAGTTATTTTTAAAAGCGTATCGCGAGCCGCGACAAAAATACGAGCAACAAAAAGTTTCGTTTGAAAAATTAATATCTCGGCCTACCATTTCTGCTATCTTATCGATATTTTCAAGATATCGAATACTCGATCGAAATATTATTGCATGCATGGATACAATAATTGTGAATAGAGAGAAAAAAATTGAAATTCCAGTCAATCTGGTTCGTTATTGATGCCTTTGACAACACCGATTAATTGCATCAATAACACGAGATTTTATACGACTCCGTTAAAATTTTCTTTCCTCGTTTTATACGCGCGGATTTTAATTTTTTCCTCTACTCGTTCATCCACCGTGAATACCATGCACCCGTTTCAAAAATCTATGGGATCTATCGGGCGAGAGAATCGAAACACTCGACGATGATACAATTTTTCCACGGTTCGCGTCCACCGCTCGAGAAGAAAAGATCTCGCCACGAGATCGTCATTGACGATTCTTCCTTTCTTTTCTTTTCCCCCTTTTCTCGCGTTCCCCCTTTGTCCTCCGCCTCTCCAGGGAGAATTAAACGAGCTCGCGCGAGAAGTGGGAGGGGCGCGACCCTCGAAAGGGCGCCGTGAAAAATCGTCCCGACCACTTTTTCTTCCACCCTCGCGCCTTTTCATCGCCCTCCATCGCTTCTCTCCTCCTTTTTTTCTCTCCCCTCCTCCTCGTTGTTGTTGTCCCCAGCCGTTCGCGGGCCCGCGACACCGTTGCGAGTCGCGTTTTAATGCTCGCGTCGCGATTTATGGGGTGTCGTCCGCGCGTCCGGAAGAAGGAGCGACACAAAGCGAGGGACGGAAAAAGAGAAGGGAGACTCTTGAATGAGAAAGAGAGAGGAATGGTCGTCCTAGCGAAAACAAAAATCGAAACGCGACTGGCAGCAGCGGCAACAGAAGAGGAGAACGTCCCTTTGAGTGCTGGTGCTCGTTTCGCTCGCCAGAGTCACTGCTTATTATTTCAGAGAGGAGACGGCTTTTCGCAATTTCAACCCTCGCGTCATTTTTTTACCGATTATCGCTCTTATTGTTATTATTATTATTATTATTATTATTATTATTACAATATCTCGCGACGCCTCTTAAGAGTAATTATCCACGACACGCGTTCCTCCACGACGGCTATTGTAAATCTTGGCTCTATGGAAGCGTGGCGCGTAATCGGAAGAAAAAGACAAAGAGGGGGACAGCGTTTAACGTTTAACGCTGCGAATTCGGGAGAGAATTTACGGAAAGTGGGGGATGGTAAATGCAACGCCTGGTAAATGAACGTTTCGCGGCTCGGATTTCGATTCAGGCTGTTGTCGCCGCTCGTAATCCGCTTTGCGGACGCCGGCGAACTTTTAATACCCCGGCCATCGGGCTAAGTGGAAAGT